TTTGGAAAAGTTTTCTGGCAGAGGTAGCCAAAGCCGAGTCTTGGTTTCATGTGCGGGGCATGTATAAATGCCTCATAGAGGGAATTTTCAAAAGTTGGCATTTTCCGTGGGAGTTTATTTCTATGTGAAAATTTTGTTATCGTTTACAAATAAGTTTTTCTATAGCGTTTTTTCACTTTCACTTTATAACTGATTTATAGTTTGCTAAAGAAGTTATTAAGAAATTGTTTTAAAAAATCAAGCAGTTGGCACTGGCCTGATAAACGACCAACTCTATGAAGTCATCAGTTATTAGTTATTCTGTGGATGTTATTTTTAAGGGTAGTAGTACCACTTCTCTATTCCTTGTCGATTGTAGACAATCAAAATCGGCAAAACTTCGGCTGTATTTCTTATGAATATTAGTAAGCAATTTTTCGCTGCTAGAATTCCGCCTAATGCGTGACTCCACTAAACTCATTAAATTCTTCTTCATTGTTTAGGCAACGAAACGGTGAGGTATACAATTTTTTGGAGCAGTAATCAACAAGGTAATCAAGAGGTGTATATTTAGATCGCCAGTTTTGAGGTGTCCAGAATAATAGATCGGACGTGTTGAACCTACAATGTCTGCCAAGACGTTTTAAATAAATCGGCAGCATATATATGATATATGATGACACTATATTCCGGGATATCATCCGTTCGCTCGTTGAACTCCGACTGGAATCCTGCAAATCCTGCATCCGACTGGAATCCTGCAGACGTTTCGCCAAAATCTCAATGCTCTTCAATGCGAGAACGTCTGCAGGATTCCAGTCGGATGCAGGATTTGCAGGATTCCACTCGGAGTTCCACGAGCGAACGGATGATATCCCGGAATATAGTGTCATCACATTTTTCCATCCGTGAATCAATACGTGAGAATATATATATATATATATATATATATATATATATATATATATATATATATATATATATATATATATATATGGTAGGTAGGTTCCAAACCCACTCTGCGATAGAGCATCTGATTTCTAGTCAGACGCCTCACCCGAAAAGTCAAGACTAAATCTGATGATGTGCCATGCGTTTGAAATATACGAGTATTACATTTTAATAATTTTGTGCACTCAATTCGTATATTTGACAAATTGACTGTTGATTAAAGATTAAAGATATTTAAGCAAAACAATGGTCGGTTGCAGTAGCTATTTTTCGAACCTACGCTGCAATAGAGAATCTAATCTGATTTCTAGACAGACGCCTTAACCGACATGCCAAGACTAAATCTGTTTGAAAGTCTGATGATGTGACATTTTTTTGAAATATATTTTTTTATAATATTATTATTATTTTTTATAATATTTGACAAAATTTTCTGATATTAGGTGAGCTGTTAATTAAAAAAACATATATTTAAGCAAAACAATTGTCGTTTGCGGTAGGTAGGTTTCGAACCGATGATGCGATAGAGAAACTGAGTTCTAGTCAGAGGCCTCAACCGACAAGCCAAGACTAAATCTGTTTCGAAGTCGAACTATTTCCGGTGATATGCGTTTTAAATTTACGAGCATTACATTTAGCTGTTAATTAAAATAAAATAATATATATAAGCAAACCAATTTTCGTTTTGCAGTAGGTGAAAAAAGTCGTTCATGAAATGATCGGGTAAGGCTACCAAAATACACTGCTTATCATGTATACACTCCGCAGCCGCTACTGAAAAATGACACAACGAATTTATACTAGGACGTCACTATGATCACTAACAGACCTGTAGATCATGTTTATATACGAACAAACATGAAAACCGCTACCATAATCGATCTTTCGGTACCGCAGGACTACAACCTAGCAAAATTTCTGGCAGAAAAGATCTCAAAATATGAAGCCTTAGCACAATAAATCAAAACAGTCTGGGACATGGCATGCAAAATGATTACGGATGTTTTTTATTAGCAAATATATTGGATAATTTAATTGTTGTTAGTTGAAATTGAATTATATATTTAGTTAAGGCCGTTAGAATCGGTTTTGTAATTAATTGATTTTTTGTTTTTTTTTTTGGATTTTTATTCTTTCATAAAGTTCTCTTTTTTTATTTTTAGGTTCTGTTAGTAGGACTTTAACTTTTTGAAAATTAAGTCTGTATTTGGTGTTATCAAAAAATGTTTGCTTTGAGTTTAGTGAAGAGATATGTTTTTTGTAAATTTTTGTAAACTTTGTAAAACTTTTCTCTGCTATTTGAATTTTGTGTTCTTTGAAAATGGTTTGGAGTTTTTCTGTTAACCCAGATATATATGGTAGCGATATATATTTGCTTCGAGGATTTTGATGTTGGTTTTTGTTTACGTTATTATAAAATTTATTGGTATGTTTACTAAAGATATTATTTTATTATGTTTTGGGGATAATTATTTTCTAGAAGTGCGCGTTTTGCTTTTTCAAGTGCGTCTGGACTATATTCTGGATCGGGTAACATTATTGCTCTGTCTGCGAGACCTATTATGACGGATTTTTTTGGGCTAGGGGATGAGTAGATTTCAAATTTAGATAACGTAATGATTTTATTTTTTTGGTATAATAACTTTTTGGACTTATGCCTACATTACATACAAAATGAAATAAGAAGTGTAAAATTTTGATAGGTTGATGTTTTTCTTGAAATCCCTGCATATCATTTTATATTTTTATAGATCTATTTTCTGATTTTAAATATTTTTTGTATTTCATCCATAACGTTCCCTTGGAACTATAAGACTTCATTGAGCAGCAAATTGTAATATTTCCGCCCAGTTAGGTTTAGTTACTTAAATTTTCAGCATCCAGCATCGGCCGTAAATTTAAACCTACAAATTTGGTCAGATGCTAGGGCCTCTATTTTTGATATTTCGAAACATCTTCAGAAAAAACAGACAACTAGAAACTCTCTTAGAAATAGACCTTGGAAATATTGGAAAGTGACAGCAGAGATAGTTCAAATCTATACTAACCAAAATTTGTTTGGATTTTTGTTGTGCTGCAGGCGTTTTAAATATTTTTGTACTCCTTTCTGTAAAAAACATAACTATACACCGATCTAGCTTGCGCGAAGCGTCACTTTACCATGTGAGTTTCTTGTCCCACGGATCCTAACCACTTCGGACATTTTGATATTTTGAATCCAGTTATTCCATTTTGAAGGTAAAATTCATTTAATTTAATATTATACATTATAAAAGATAATTTTAACTTGATGCTGTGTAGTAAACAAAATAATGGGAATTTGCGATTTTTTTTTGCTTTTTTAAACCCTATATTTCCATAAATTTTCTGAATATATCCTGAACGGAGTTTGCTCAAACCTTAAATGCCAAAACAGCAATTTTAGGCATAGCTTTTTTTTCAACTTTACCGTCATAAAATTGTGATCATTTAAACCTATTAAATACTTTCCACACCTATTTGCATGCGCAAATAAGGTACTTGCGCTCTTCTACAGTACTAAAAACCTTTCCTACTAGTAATTATGAAATATTTTAAATCAACTTCCTCAAGTTTTGCTAAATTTGAAATAGCGTCATTATTATCAAGTTTATTTTATTTTTATATAATTCAAATTCTTGAAATGACAAACGAAAAATAACTGAAAGCAATGTCCCATATATTTTCACTGAAGTACTGCGGACTTTTGCCAATGGTCGCATGGTCAAAATATTTGGTCCATGTCGAACATAACGAAACTGAAAAGCGCTCTCTGACTCATGTTGTCAATGGTTTGCTTTGCGTTTGATATAGTACAGACCAATAATATATCCAAATAAGGCACACATTGTGCGTAACCAATATTAAATTTTGCCCACTTTCCTGCAGAAAAATATGACATTCCAAAAATACGTAATTTAATCAACCAAATGTTTTTATGTAATAAGAATCTCTGAATTTTGCGGGATCATTTTAAAATGTGGCGCAGCTTTCTAGACAAAGTTTATGTCCTTCGAAATTTTCAAACGTTCTTTTTCCCAGAATACCTTGATAGAAATGGAAAATATCCGTGTTCCTCTCAAAAAAACGTAAGAATTGAAATGATGCTATAAAAATAAATATAATTAATATGATAAAACCATTTTCTTAAAATAGGTAGTCAGTAGCTAGTCTGGGCTCAGGCCGAATTTCGAATACAATTATTGCTATTAAATGATTATCAGCTGTTATGAAAGTTTAAATTCTTATCAAAATAGATCTGGCAATCTCTACTTTTAGCGAATCTCAAAATATTATTGCTCTGTCAAAATTACTTGTAAAATGCCTAAATATTATTCGTCATCCAACAGTTTTATTGAATATCCTTTCAATTTACAACGAAACATTGTTGAAGGCATTTATTTGGGATAAAAATCCTAACTACTAAATGATAAAATGTGTTCGTTGTGCTCACAACAATTTTGTAATAATTTTGTAGATTTTAATCCCACTTTATTGAATATTTAGTTGAATATGTGACACATTATAAAACCATTTTATAGTCGACTTGTATTCTGTATAGAACAGTCGCATAAGAATTTCATAAACTTTTAATAGAACCGTTTTGCTTCCAAAGGATGTATAAGGATTATTTAATCGTTTTGTAGAACGTTATGCGAATTTCAGTATCCTATAAAATATATCTTATAGTTGTTTATACAAACCCTATAAAAAATATTTTGCTACTTGGGTTGTGGATAGCTCTTTAGTTGTTGGTTTGTTTAATTAAAAAAGGGTCCGAAAACTTTATTTGGGCTGCATAAAATGTTATTTGGATATTGTTTATGGTAATAACGGATTCCATGTATTAAGTAAGCAAAAGTCCAGCACGACTAGGCTGTACTACTGCAACGCCCAAAAATGTATGGTATCGCGTATCTAGCTGGTAACGAGAACCCCAAACCCAAAAATCCACAAATATTCTAAATAAAAACGTAACCGTGGGAGTGAAATGAGATGTGGTGCGCGCGCACTTGTATCTCAATGCCCTGGTGCTTTCCCCGTTGGATTTTCAGGAATTTGCGGACAGTCACTGCGGGCTCCTTGAGTTGAGTGGTGCTCCTGGATACGCCACATTTTTTACCTTGTGTAAGTCTGAGCATCTATTTTTAGCAGCCGCTTAGAGCTACCGCCTCTTTTTCATGTTGCCCTGTTCGAATTCCCGCTCCAGTCCTCCGACTATCCCGCGGGACGGGCTCTACGCGCGTCCCTTAACAATAATACGGATCCCGTTTCACCTGCCTTTTAAGGCAGGTGTTACGTAACCCGCGGCTTCTGCTCTCCTGGTAGCTCCCATTCGAGCCTAACACCTTTGCTAAATAACCGCGACACCTGTATGAAATTAAGGGACGCTTTGTGATAATTGCATTATTTTAACCGAAAGCTTATCTAATATGTAACAAAATCTGGCAATTCCGCAGGCTCTAGGAATAAATTATGGAGTATTTCAAAATTCCTAGCAATTTTCCTTAATCGACGCGAATGAGATTTTCGGTTCAAATTGATTCTGATTCACATAATTGCCGTGGAAACACATCCAAGTCTTGCTAAATTTTTCAAATTGGCCATGAAAAAAGAGCTTACGTTGACAGCTTTAACTTGAATTTGCCATTCAAAAATCTGTCCACCGAGTTAAAAATGTTGATCATGCATCATATTTATCCAGCAAAAATGCCAACCGCAATTCGGAAGTGTGATGATGTTTTCGAAACCTCGAAACCTAGTTCTAGATATTTAACGGTGTAAATTTCTGAAATTTTTAACAAGTTTTTTGACTTTTTTGTCCTCTTAACTTATGCCGTTTTATGAATTAGTTGGAACCCTATGCTAAAGTTATATTATGAAATATGTCCAACAATCCATAATGAGCGAGCTAATATCAAATAAAGTCAAACCGATTCAAGCGACTCGATCAAAACCGAACGATTCCTTTAAAAATTTAGGTTGATATAAGTGTTCCTCGGAAAGTTCATATTTTTCGAAATTTAGAGTAACAAACTCAATTTATGACAATTTTAAAACTATTTATCTGTTTTTAATTTTTACCTTTATCTTAACAATCTACCGGCCTATTTAAGATAATTCCTTAGCCCCAATCATATTAAGACGTATTTTTCCGTTCTGTTTTTGTTTTTGGTTTTTTTTTGTCGAGAACCAAACCAGATAGATCAAAACATATATTTACTTTTTTTTTGTCAAAAATGTGTGTTTTTTAAAATGCGACCCCTGCGCTTAGAAAAACCTACAATTAATAGACACTTTGGCCTTACAACCACTGAGACGTACTGAGACCAAGTAAGAAAAATGTAATATAACCACACATTCTAATTCATCTGATTCCAGGCTCATAACAAGACAACTTTTGGCTGTAATAATTCAGGTTTTTAAAATAACAGTTAGAGGCGCCCTCTTAAATTATAACGTTTGTTATGAAAACAAATCTTAATATAACTCCTAAAATAAATTTCCATGGATTATTAATTATCTAATTAATTTTTGACTCGATCAATAGTGTATTGAATTCGAGTCTCACCATAGAACAAAGATAGATCATCCCAAATATATATATATATATATATATATATATATATATATATATATATATATATATATATATATATATATATATATATATATATATATATATATATATATATATATATATATATATATATATATATATATATACCTTCCCTTAAAGAAAATCGAAATATTGTTTATACATCAATTTTGTGAGTTTACGGCCAATTTTCAAGTTTTAAATAGCCGAACGACAAAGTGCGTTAAAAATGCATTTTTCAAAATCGTTTCAACATAGCTAGGATATTTATAGCGTACACTACACATACACTCGTGTGTCAGAAATGACTGGTGAAATCAGCTCCGGCAGTACCAGCAGAGAAACATAAAAATAAAAGTCAGTTTGTCTCTAAAGTTATTCAAAAATTCATTTATGAAAAACCAATAGGAAATTCACTTTTGGGATTTCAAATGAACGGTGATATGGCATAAATACATTGAATTTATAAAATTTTGAATCGGTTCTGTTTTGACTATCATAATATCATAATACCACTAACAGGCGTTAAGAACATCTAAAGCCAATGAATTTCACCGTTCATTTCAAATCCCAAAAGTGAATTTCCTATTGGTTTTTCATAAATGATTGAATAAATGAATGTATGTGTATGTGTAGTGTACGCTGTGTCGTATTTTCGTGACCCAATAGTGTTTTTTTATAAAATCAGAGATGCGCAAAAATAAATATCCTAGCTATGTTGAAACGATTTTGAAAATGCATTTTTAAACGCACTTTGTCGTTCGGCTATTTAAAACGTGAAAATTAGCCGTAAACTCACAAAATTGATGTATAAAAATACTTCTCTTTTCTTTAAGGGAAGGTGTATTTTAATAATTTTGTAAAGCTTATTATGGGATGAGTAGGCCATGGAAAATACATTTTTTTTTACATAAATTGCACAATTTATTACACAAAGTTCGTTGTTTGTTAAAGTAAACTTTTTTTGTTTGTGCTATATTAAATACGTATCGATAATACAATGATAACACAATTACCAATTTTTCATCATATTTTGGGTTAACATAAACCGTGGCACAAAACGAAGACTTACAATAATAACGAATCTTTGACCACTAAAGTTTTAGGAAAATGGACAATTCATTTTTTTTTCATTCTTAACGATGGTTTCTTTTTTACTTCCACTCTGTAGAACCGGAAAATTGTTATTTTCATATGAGAAAAAGTCGTTCTTTCATGGCAATTCTTGTTGTAATTCATCCCATTTGCCACCAAATTAATTAAACTAGTCTTCTTATTTTGATATATGTTGTTGAAATATGGCAGATAAGTTATAGAACGCGCTAGTATGAAGATATCGAAGAAATAGCTGCATCTGGGCTAAATTAGTATTTTTAGCTATAATTTAAGAGCAAAAATAGTTACTTTGTTGATCAAATAAGAAAGCAGATTTTAGTTTTTCGCTCCGTATGCACCATCACAATAACAGTTCGCAGTCTATTTCCATTGGACATAAAAAGTGTGTCCATATATTTTTTAATTATGTCGTAATTAACGGACGAAAATAAAAGCCGCTGAGACTTTTTCAACGTGCTAGACATACGTTACTCGCCCCTTGTAGGAACCTCTGCAGGATTCATGCATCCCTGCCACCCGAAGCCTACGTTTAGAGGTCTCTGCGTCAAATTAAGGTCGGATGGACCCTTTCCCGGGATTTTGAGGAATCGCTCAGCTCCATCGGAAACTCCAAAAGGGATTTCTACCCCCGCCAGGGTATCTTTCCACAGCTCCACCAAGTTATGCTACCCGGCTACGCGTTGCTTTGTTTTAGCTGCCTTCAGAGCGATTTTTTAACGCCGGTAACTGCGGGTATAACGATAATTGATTCCTTAGAGGCAGAACTTTTTCGGAAATGTCCAATGTTCGTTTTATTTATTTTCTACGTACCTACCAAAAGTGAGGGTTACAGAAGAACTTCATAGGAATGCTCACGAGAATTACCGAAAAGTGTCGAGTAAAAATAATTCTTGCGAACAGCTGACAGATCTACAGAGAGTAGATGAACCTCCTTTGCATGTGCTAATTCCGTCTCAATTATCTGTTTAATACAGAATGACTAAAGTCAGTTTGTTCTTCTGCTTTTTTGTCGTGATACTCCTTTTTAAATGGGTCTCTTATAATTCATCTTTTAAACCGACTGAATATGCTACTAACTGACAGCCCTTTGTAATTGTTGCAGTCTGAGTTTTCATCTTTTTTAATAATATGAAAATAGATAAATTTCAAGAAATATTGTTATAGAGACTACATTAATTTCTAGCATGTTATCAGCTTCTCACATTCTTTCTTCTATTTGGCACTCTTTTCATCCTCATTTATTACAGATTCTTTTCTTCCTGTACTATGATGTATTGTCCAACTCAAGTCATATTCGAATACATTAACTATATTTGCAAAAACCGAATGTTGAGTTTTGGTAGCGGAGAGCACATTGAGAATAACAATTTTCTAGTTTTTAGTAATGGCGTTTCTTAGCAAAAAATCATAAAGAAACAAGAACGAACTTTGCCAATAAATGCGGAAAAGTAACTTTAATTTGATTTTTTAAAACTAAAGCAAAGATATGCCTACTACGTGTCCATCTACCTGCCACTTTCAGGACCCTTGACAATCATCATAGGTACAATTCTACTTTTGTGGAAAACACCACTGAGTTTGCCAGTTCAATAATAATTTATAATTCTCTCGCATGGTTAAACAGAGCATAAGTTTAAACATTGGTAAATAAACCTTGCGTAACAAATAAATTTGTGAAAGACGTTCATAATTTCGCTCTCACGCAAGAATTGATTGATAGCAAATTTTTTTGTAGCTATTCCACTCCTACCATAACATATATTCTGTTTAGTTATGAACTAGCTAATTACCCAACTATTTTCTATTTTACAAAAACCAACATTTGGACTGCAAAACAATTATCGTTACTCTTGTGAAACCCATAAACAATAAAAAGGAAAAAATATGAAAATAAAGGTAGCACAAATTTAATTCAATGTAAAACTTATACTTTCCACTAACTCAAAGTCAAATATCACTAATAAACTTTGCAATCTACAGCGGTTTTTTTAACAATAAACAAAAAAAATGCCTCCCCCTGCAATTTTCGTATAATATATTTTGCCCTTCATAAAACTGAGCAGTTTTAAAATACAATTTTGGTAAAAATCTAAAAACAAAAATTATGCATAATATTTAGTTTTATAGTTATAACTAATCACCTAACTAACCTACCTAAAAGTAAAGCAATTATAACATATAAGATATTGCTATTACTTATAACTTAAAACCATTTTAAAAACCCGGAAACAACCAACACCTATAGTTAAATAAATTGATAACAATATTTAACTTATCTTACGTGCTAAACTATAGTTAAGCGAAAAATGTTAGTTGATTATTTGACCCATCGCTACCAAAAACTAAAAAATATTGAAAAGCAATACTTTAAAGGCAGATTGGCATTACAGAACAATGTTACTGATTGAGCGGGCAGTGGTACGTCACACACCCAGAAATTACCTATTACCTATCCTCTCCTGCGTTACCCTTCCTGACGGGGGGTGTTTTTATATGTCACCGATGGACCCGAAAGGTTATCGATTAGAATTCGCTTGGTCTGCACCGAACAGGGCCCCAGAGGTGCGTTTTATAGCGCCCTGTTTCCGAGGGTTCCCTTTGAACTGCGCCCTCGTTCGCTGGTGCGATTATACGGTCGAGTGAGTTTAAAGTAAAATACTCGAACTTTTTGATTTGCTGCGCTCTCACTTGACTTGATGAGTTGAAAGTTAAGCGATATAAATCCTGCCCATCGGACTTTCGAGTTAAGCAACCCTTTAATACTCTAAGGGATTTTTTTATAAGGTTTAAACCATATTGCAAAGAAATCCGCCTTGAGGGTTATCATACAGACTGTTTTATTGATCATGTAACGTACACGACTCTTGCAAATACTGTAACTATTAATATTAATTGTTTAGAAAATACAAGCATTAAACAAAAAAGAATGCGTGTTTGTGAAGTTAGGTACAAAGAAAACCGATTATAACTAATTATATATTTCATTATTATTACCATTATTATTATTATTATTGTTATTATTGTTATTATTATTATTATTATTATTATTATTATTATTATTATTATCGCAAGAAAACTCTTAAACTCTGTAAGATAGCTTTAATTGAAGTTTTTTGACAGTATTACCCTATTTCTAATGTGGATAGAGCAAAATGCTAAAGACCTCATAATGATATCTTAACTACCAATCGAGATATAGGGCGTTTTTTCTCAATTTTCCATCGTTTTGAATATTGCCCATAATTTTTTTTATTGAAATTACTGGTTTTGATAAAAAAAACATTGTTGGGGTAAGTCGAACGTAGAGGTAACCTTTAGATACAAGACAGCGTTATGAAAACATATATTTAATGTAAACCCCTATCGGATGTCACTGGTAATATATTTATTTAGATGTTTGGCAACAAAAAATACTCGTTCAGATGTGCATTAAAAAAAAATGTCCAGCAATATTGAACATATAACATTTTTTCTTGTAACTTTGACACTTTGGGGACAGATCTTTATGTAATATTGATTAGGATAATGACATTTTTTCGTATATTACCTAAACATGTGTTAAGCCATAATTAAAATTAAGTTATAAAAAATCGTCTCTACAAATCTGACTTTTTTTTCATCAATAACAAGTTGAATTACTTCTCTGCAGTTGTCTGCTCTCACATCCTCAGTGGCTGGATCAAATAGTAGCTTACGGTCTGTCGTCCTGGGCCCATATGAGTTACATATAATTTAATTCGCAATATGGCGTTATCCTGTTTTTCTTTCACGGCGTATTTCCCAAAACAATGTTTGTACAAATTTTGTTTGTAATAGTTAGTTCTTAATCAAATTATCCGCAAATTCAATATTTTTGGTGACTAACCAGTTGATAACTTGTTGTTTAATACAAGATGAACTTGAATTTTATGGGTCGTGAATAATACCCACTACTGAATCAGCCGGAAGATATTTTAACATTTCACCAAAACAGTTGTCAAAAACGTCCGAAATCATGAAAAATTCGTTGCGGATTTCACGGATTTTGTCATTTTTCGGGGTTAAAATTAAAAAAACTTACTTGATACGCTCTGTTTTCGAAAATCGGACATCGTAAAAATACCCGTGGATTGTAGTTTATGTTAGCGGGGTTATTTTTAAACGCTACAGTGTGGCGGAGCTGAAAATAACACTGAAATGCTGAAACGTTCGGCGACGCCAAATACAGCGTCGTTCAACGCACGGTATTTATTTCAGTTTTCGAGATAGATTTCTAGAAGGTATTCCCCCGCATCGCTTGCGTCATCAAAAACGCTGCCTTTAACCTTTCCATTGTTTATTGTTTTTATATTTGAACTCCGGAAGTTTCCAGAATTAATAATGCAGTACTCAAATACTTATTAGAATCCAGAAGTTACGTTATTTTGAAATTAAGTAAAACCGAAAATGTGAATATGTAAAATTCTCAAAGTCCTGTAACATTAAGTATATCAAGTTCGTAATTGTTCCATAGTATATTTGGCGTAAGTTTTAATGCATTAGTAATATAACTGATTGGGTGGAATCGAAAACACAGCCTGCGTTAAAAAAATGGTTATTGAACTTGATTTGAACTTAATTTATAGCCTACGCTTAGTACACGTACATTTCAAATATGATATTTTTTATCTCTCGATCTGCAGTATACTTTGGCCAAATAAACATAACTTGAACTTCACCTTTCTACAGAAAACGCGATAATATACATTGTGTTCCATCTAAAATATCGAAGTTAGCTGCTGCCAGTGATTTAGCTATATTGGAAACTAATTTAAAATATGACTACAACTCAAAAAGTAGATGAATATCAACTATCAAACTATCTAGGACAGAAGGAATCGTTTATTGGCAAATTATTTTTTTAAGGATAAAAAATGCCAAGTCAAGCTTTATGTATGTTTTTTGTGATGTATATTTTTGCCAGAAAAAAGGCTACTATTTATTACCACCAATGAACTCCAATAGAAAAGATACAGTGCACCCTATTCAATCTCTGCCTCTTCTCTCTAATCCAAGACTTCCTGTCGTAATCTTTAAGCTTCAACGTTAAAGAATATTTTATGAATATCAAATATACGTTTGTTCTGGTCTATACATTTTTTATAAGATGCATCAGTTTCTTATTAGCGCTACTTCCCAAATGGTTTCTACAATCTAATGCAACTTTAATTACCAAGACAACTTTCATAGAGAGCAACAAAATGAAAACAACTCGATGAGCTGGTTTATTAGTGTTTCATATTTACTTTGGAAACGTCCAGATTTTCTTCTTGGAGAAAAATCTTATGATCTAATAATACTACAGCGATACTCGTTGACAAAATTGGTGTCAAGGAAAACTTCCTAGATCCATTTTCAGTTTCTGGTTGTAGTTATGGTGCATTGAATTTTAGTTAAAATCTAAGAGTATAATGAATATTTAAAGTACTACCGAATTATGTAGATTGGTTTTTTATATAATTTTCATTTTTCTGTTAATTTTTAGTTTCTATTACATGTTGCACGGAAACATATTTTCTGTTTTGTTTTCAGAAATAAACAACCCTTTCGGCCATGTCAGACGACGAAGAAGTTTACTCGTAAGTATTAAACCTTTGTACACTCTCTTAAACTATAACTTCTATTTATCGCGAACCTCTGCTAAAGATCATTTTCTTGTATTTTTCAGCGAAGAAGAGGAGGAAGAAGAAGTCGTTGAAACGTAAGTTTTTTCGACGAGCCATTTGGGACTGAACTACGGCTCTACATTCTGAAACGTCTACCGGGTGGCTAATTAAGAAGGAAACAGGGCTTTAACTGAAAAAGTAATTGCCTCAAAAACTTGGGGTTTAAAAAACATTTATAACATATATTTTAGAATTTCTGGAATGACCGCCAGGGGGAATAATCGAATTCTTAAATTTTAAATCATATTTTTATGTTATATTTAAAATGTTAATAATAAGTCACTATAATTCAATATGATCGAATATAGCCCATCTATTCATTCAAAATTCGAATTGTTGGGACACAAAATAGCAAAGATTATAATGATGATGTTTAAGTGCCATGTATGCTTGATATGCTTCTTCTTTATTTTTAACACATTGAAAATGCAACTGTTTCTGTTAGAATCTACGCTACGCTACGAGTCTATTGCATTAAAACGCCCAAATGGTTTATATCTGCAGTACTGTTTTTCTTGTACTATTACTTAGTATTGCTATTTTAAATATACTTTTGGCTTTTTAACAGTAAATTTATATATGTTTGGCTAATAGAAACATATTATTAGTGATATTTCAAAACGCCCCCTAGCGGGCCTAGGTTTGACAAATTGCGGTGAGCCATTTATTTCGGAAAATATTAAAACACTACCACCATTTTCCCTCAAGAGATAGAGCAAAAACTATTTAATGCAAAAGAATCGAATTTAATCCAACTTTAGTTTTTTCCAACATTTTAATATGGGCGTTAGTTTTTCTTTTTTTCATTTCAAGTCTTTATGATAATTACTTTCCGAGATAGAACCGGGTGCACTTCTTAATTAGCCAGTCGGTATAGATAACAATCAGATATCTTAAACTCGCCACCCACACCGTCAAGCAAACATATTTCCCCCCATTCTCACACAGTCTTACAATTAGACACTCTAAGAGTATCCACACATCATCAGACTTAACGTTAAGTCCCGAATTAATTGTTTATTTTTCTCTTTACAGAAAAACGTAAGTTTTTAGCTCTTCCCCTATGTTGACGTGAACAAAATCACACCCCGTATATCGAAAGTATAGTATAAATTCTTCGAACCCGTATGTGTTTCTAAACCCTCATAGATATAGTTTTTTGTAACTCACACCGGTTTGGATAATTGTTTTTTGGTATTTAGAACACACACTTGTATTAATACATCCCTCGATTTACAAGTTTTTGTCTTGGTGAATACAAGATGTTTTCCTGGAATTTTGTTCAAAACTTGTAGCCGATCGAGGAGAACATCTTGGGCGAGCCTTCGAGCGCAAAAACTTATTTTTTTGTATGTAGTTGAAGAGATTGTAAATTTTTGTTTTCATTTTGATTTTTTCCTTATTTTCCGTGACCTCCTGTGATACCCCTTGTGATGTGTACCGTGTAGGACAACTACCACAACATCTAAAGTCGAGTAAGTTTCAAGATAAAAGATACGAGTTTTTTTTTGGGAAAATTTTCGATGCCGAAAGATGTCACACCTAACCAATATTTTTTAACGGTTTTTAAAACAACCACGGACATTTTTGCGCTACTGCTTAACCCGTTTTCTTTGTGCAGAGACTTTTTTTAATGTTTTGCTCGCCTATGATTCTTAACATTAACTATTAACATTAAATTTCTAGTTTTTTCAGAAAGAGTTAGGTTTTCAAGACAAAATTCCCCATAATTTTACATCTTTTTTAAAAGTAATATTTTTGCAAATATTAAACACGTTTTATTAGATTATTTCTTGTGAATATTTTTTTGCGAATTTATTTACTTTAATTATGTTGATAGTGAGTTTATAACAAAAATTAACAACTGAACAAATTTTTTTACATGACAATTGTTTCGACAACACCGTGTCCTTATCAAATGTGACACATTTGATAAAGACAAGAAAGAGTTAGGTTTTCAAGACAAAATTCTCCACAATTTTACATCTGTTTAAAAAATAATATTTTTGCAAATATTAAACACGTTTTATTAGATTATTTCTTGGTGAATACTTTTCTGCGAATTTATTTACTTTCATTATGTTGATAGTGAGTTTATAACAAAAATTAACAACTGACAATTAACAATTATTGAACTGAGGTGGCTTGTACTTGATGAAAATCCATGTATCAAAATAAATATAAACTAAAAATTCAGATTTTCACGAAATTATATATTTTTGCATGGCAATTTTGTGTGACACATTTGATAAAGACACGGTGTTGTCGAAACAATTGTCATGTAAAAATATATAATTTCATGAAAATCTGAACTTTTCGTTCTTATTTATTTTAATTTACAATTAAACTACACCTACACCTAACTTGCATTAGTTCAATAAAATCGATTAACAATTGATATTATTGAGGATATGGGCATACGGAGGATTTTGAACTTATTGGAAAAGAATATTTATGAGAGATATAAATTGATAGAGATTAGAAACATATGACGTCGATATTGGTTGGGTACGTTTGGTTAGTTTAGTTTTATAAAGGGTTCCATTTGTTTTTATTGCGTTGAACAAAATGTGGTTTTAGTTGTTAGTTGTTAATTGCCATTTTTTTATAAACCCACCATTTAGCTAGCTTGGCTGTAACAATATTTCTAATTTTGCGGCTAATGAAAATATTCGCCTCTGGGATAAATTTATAAATAAAATTATGAAGATACAAATAGGTTACGGACATCAATTTTGCCATCAATTCCTAATTTTTTAAAAGTTTCAAATTGTAGTAACAAAGCAATGTGAACATAGGCACGAGAGGAAGAGATAATAAAACAGTTATTAACAGTATGTAGAACGGCAAACTCTAGGACATAGAGTGTTAATCAATCTGTGTAAAAACTACGAGGTGGACATTAGAAAACCCAAACTGGCTACTTTCGTTCGCCCTACGCCTTTAGTTTTTCTCAAGCATTAAATAATAACCCTGTTCGCATGAGGGGAAAAATCAGGGAAAGCCAGTAACAAAAGGCTGGAGGGAAATGACTAAAGGGGATCGCATGAAAGGAAAGAGATAAGTAAAATAACGTAGCAACCACAGAAGAGCGCGTTTCAATAGTGATGAGCTGTAGAAACCAAAAATTTGGAAACTTTTCCCACATTTTCCAGGATTTAAGGTATTGTGATCATCGACGTGCACTCAGCTAACGTCCACTACCTTAACGAGCAGACGCAATAATATTTGAATGGAACAGTGTATGTAGATACTACCTATCAACTTAGCTGAGAAGGATTTATTTCAATTCTACTGAGGCGCATCTAGAAAAAGCATGCCGCTATTAATGGAAACCTAAAGAATGTCCAGTTGGCGGCAGAATCTTAACGAACTGAATCTTAATATCCAGCAAGTCTCCAAGTTAAACTTAATCTATCTGTAAGGCAAAGTGGCCCATGTAAAGCATCACCAAGTCTCTAACTTCTTGACTAGAAAATAATGCCATAAATTTATTATTTCAACATGAAAGTTCGAAGTTCTTTCAGATACCCTGTATAAATCGCCTGTCGCATGTCACGTGCAACATGCAACCATCACCGGCACACAGACAGTGCTTTTTTATTTTGGAAACAATTGCCGGGCCAACGCAACGTTCCGATTTTTTTTTCTAAACGCCGATTGTCTAAATTTAAATTTCTGGCACACGACTTGTGTGTTTACCTAACTCGAACTCAATCGACACTATTTTTAAATATTTTCGGATTTGGAACGCGAGCTGAGCCTAAAACGCTATCGTGAAATTGCTCGAGCGGCAGTTTCGCGCTGCTGCGTGCTATTTTTGCAACCGCTACAAGCTTGGATTTTTTTTAAGTTGGTGTTTTAATAACGGCAACCGCCACGCCTATAAATAAGGTGTCCAGGATATGACGCTGTTTGCGTAATTGTTTCGAGGAACATATAGCGATTGATTTCTCTTATTCAAAGCTTAATGATAAAATTTAATGAATTAAACAAAAAAGGTTCACAATACGGAAGTGATTATCGCCAGGAAAATAAAAACGAGCAAAATAAGGGGCTTTTACTTCATGAAAATCCGTTTAACTCAATTAAATTCGAACAAAAATTGTTTAAATTTTCACATTTATTGGTTTATGAGAGCTGTTTCGGCAGCACCTTGCCTCTAGACAATATTCCGACATATAAACCGGTAGTAATAGATTCTTATAAATTTAAATTTAACAACGGGGACGCATTTAAATCCAATTGGCCATTGAGTAATAGATTCGACTAAACCATTTCGTTAATCTCCATAGCTTCCAAAAAAAACAGTTTTTTGCTTTTTGATTCGATATGTTTAATATCAAAATTATAAAAAAAAAAATATCATATGTGTGCATTTCTGAATTAAAATTAATGGGATAGTTAGAATCCGAACTTTTATTTTTATACCTTCTCCTATGTTCGTTAATGCGATTCTCTCCTTCATAGAAGAACTTAGCAAGAAAATGTCTTTGGTCTTAAGATTGCTTTTAAAACTGAAAACAACATAGGAAAATTTTTAAAAAGAAATAAAACTAAATCACGAAAAATTCAACTCTCAACTCCTAGAAATAAATTGAAGTATCATTTAATTATTGATCTTATTTATTGATAGATTGGGGCGAGCACTTTATTATGGCCGAAATGTTATGCCCCGCTATGCCATGTCTCCCTCTCAATCTGAATCACCAAATCAACAGTCTGTTAAATGAATATAGCCGCTCATAAGGGTCCTTATTTAACACCAAGTGCAGTACATAAAGCAATGCATTATTTCTTTTATTTTTATATTGGTGAATGGCACCAACAGCGCAATTGAATACGATTAGAACATCGCCAAATGTTCCTCGTCTGCTAAACCGCGTATTTGAATTCAACGTGCTTAGTTTAACCACAATTTTTTCAACACATTCTGTAGATTAATGCATAGAACCTACGGCCAGAGCAAAATTAATATGCTGAGACAATGCGTTACTCTACATTTTAGTAGATTTGCATGACTGAACGAACGTCTCTGATTTAGGGAACAATCGAGCGGCGATCCAGAATTCATTAAGAAACAAGACCAAAAGAGGTCCGACCTTGATGAGCAGCTACGTGAATACATCAACGAATGGCGCAAACAACGTGCCAAGGAAGAGGACGAACTCAAAAGGTAAATCCATTCGCGCTCTCCCGATAAGTCGATCTTGCAATGTTAAGTCGGTTGACAGGCTGAAGGAAAAGCAAGCCAAGCGTAAGGTCACTCGGGCAGAGGAAGAAAGAAAAATGGCTGAGCGCAAGAAGGCTGAGGAAGAACGGCGACTCCGCGAGATTGAAGAAAAGAAACAAAAGGACATTGAAGAGAAAAGACAGCGTCTCGAGGAAGCCGAGAAGAAACGCCAAGCAATGATGCAAGCCATGAACGCCACCAAGAAAGGACCCAACTTCACCGTTACCAAGAGGGACGCCTCTGTAAGTTTCGGTTGCTTCAAACAGATCTTATTACTAGTAAATTATTATCACAGCCACACAGACAAGTCACTTAGAAAGGAAATTTGCGGTATTATTTTGTCATGACAGAATCTATTAATTTTTTATGCATCTATTTCTATTTTGCCCCTATGAATATTATTTTAGATAATCAAGAAAATTTATTACATAACTGTGAGTGTATCAAAAAGCTTTCAAAACTGTTATATCTTTCTATCATTAAAATTTTTGTATTTTCTAATTTTAAGGGACCAAATTTAGCTTTCCCCAATACCATATTATGTTACAGGCCGCTAACCTCTCCCCCTCCCAAATCGAAAGGAACAAGACTAAGGAACAACTTGAGGAGGAGAAGAAAATCGCCCTTTCTATTCGCATCAAACCTCTGAGCATCGACGGACTGAGCGTGGACAAACTTAGAGAAAAGGCTCAGGAGTTGTGGGCCCAGATTGTCAAGCTTGAGACTGAAAAGTATGACTTGGAAGAAAGGCAGAAACGGCAAGACTACGATGTAAGCTAATTTAGAAGGGAAAATTCGTTGAATAATTAATTACACTTTGCAGCTTAAAGAACTGAAGGAGAGGCAGAAGCAGCAGCTGAGGCACAAGGCCTTAAAGAAAGGTCTGGACCCAGAAGCTCTTACCGGCAAATACCCAGTGAGTAAGTAATGGTCGGCAATGGGATTTTTACCAAACGCGACATTTTCAGCCTAAAATTCAAGTCGCTTCCAAATACGAGAGACGTGTGGACACCAGATCGTATGGAGACAAGAAGAAGTTGTTCGAAGGTGTAAGCATGTTATTTAGACTATATTTCTTGAGCGATACATTTCCGAAAACATCCGTCAGATTTGGGAAAATATCCAAGATACAAAACACACGAAACATATCAAATACAAATTCTTAAGGGGTCTTATTTGTAAATTGGATTTATAAGCGTTGATACGAAATAGAGTTCTGATCATGAAACTTATAAACCGAATAATATATTTGTCATCTAACAGAAATTTATATACTCTGTGGCTGTATCATGAAATAAACTTCTGCTAATATGAAAAATAAAAACATTTGAAATTATTACCTGAACTTATCAACATTCCTGCTCGGTGAATTAGGGACTTATGGTGATAGAAATTTCATTTTAAATGTCAACAAAGTCATATATTTCTGACCAACCTACCAATCCACCATCAATGTGAATATAAATCAATTGCTCTTAGCTGATAAGATTATATAAATATAATATATATAATAAATATATTATATAATATATATATATATATATATATATATATATATATATATATATATATATATATATATATATATATATATATATATATATATATATATATATATATATATATATATATATATATATATATATATATATATATATATATATATATATATATATATATATATATATATATATATATATTTATATATATATATATAATTGCAATATAAATTCCAATAAGTTTTTTTATAAAGAAGAGCAAATTCAGCATAAAGCAGTTTAATGAATGTTATTTTTCAATCAACTTTTTAAATAAGTAGATAGCCATCGTCAGGTCATGTTTTTTTGGACATTGTCTTCAAAATAAAATACAGGTTTGATTGGACTTGTAGACCACTGATGATAAATAGGTACATTAGCTCAAAAATATAATTGAACAATCCAATTTCAAAATTTAATTTCTAGAACTTTAACTTGTGCAGAAAATGCTGTTATATTGCATTAGCTCAACTGCTAAGTGTACTAAGTTAATTCCTTGTTATTACATAAGTTGTTGCAGTTGTTACTGATAACTACAAATATTAAAATCGCTTTCCTTATAATTAAAACTATTTTTCTAATTAAGGTCGCTTCAATTTTTAATAATCAAGAATTTCGAGTGTATAATAATAATTATATACGACTCCATAAAATTCAAGATATTTAAAAAACGTCTGTTTTTTACAATTTTTACACCTAACCTTAACTATCAAATTTTCGAAATCATTTTTAAAACACCTTTTGCATACATGGTGATTCAAACTGAAAATTAAATTTTTTATAGTATTTGTTTAAACTGCAAAAGTTCCAGCGTCAAGATTGTTGTTCTGTCTTTCTCTGAGGTACATTTCTTAGAGAATATGTTTGAAATAATTAGCATAAAAAAAACCTTTAAAATTCTACATGCCTAAAATTTTCCTAGAAATTGACAAATGCAATAATATTATAGGCAAGTTGACACCCATTTTCTATATAACCCGACGTGTCTATTCTATCTCCTAGAAAATAGAAAAATAGAAATATTAGGTCCACCCTATAGCTAATAAATAATATAGATACACCCCAGGCAGCTCGAATAGACTCAAAGTGATAAAAAATATAAGCAAGTTTTTCTATGGAAAAAGACGGCTAGTAATGGGTATTGACATCACATTGATACATTTCTTCAGTCAATCAATCAAATTAATCTCGTGGTCTAAAATGGAGAAAGTATATCAGCCACTTAGTTCAATGAAGCATAAACGGTTGAAATGATTTAATTATTTAACCCAAAAAAATAGGTAGAAAAATTAAGAAGTAACATAAAACATTCTGGTATTAAGGAAAACAATACTGATTACTACCCGTCTTCCTTAAATTCGATTTGCCCTTTAAAATCGATATTGGCTGCATTCTAGTTAAGGACCAGTTCATTGGATAGGAATGAACTTCAGCGCATGCACCTAAATTCGACAAAGTACTTTGCACCATTTATATTTAAACCGAAAGGATTGTTAAAAGATGGCCACACACCCTTTAATAACCAACAATTCTCCTGAATGGCTATTTGATATGTTCCTCAAATGTGTTTTGATTTACTGGATATAGGGATTACTAGCATCCGGTTTGGAGGAAATGAACTCGCTCTGGATAAAACGGCAAGCGGAATTCGGAAATAGGTGTAAGTGTGTCCAAGCACTAAATTTTTGCGTGGAATAGATTAGTCGTTGTTGCCGTTCCTCCACCCTTGTAACTATAAACCGTACGATTAATTGCAAGGATAAGTTTTTTGAGTTTGGTTTGTTTACCATTTCTCCCTAGGGATACGAGGAGACCGTAAAAGAAACCAATGAAAAGATCTGGAAAGAAAGGAGCGGCCAATTCGAAACCAGACAAAAAAGTAAGTAAACTTATATCCGATAATATTTTGAGAACCCACGCATTTTGAGTGGGTCATTAATTATTTTATATTTCTAAATGTTAATAACTGCTGACATAAAATACAATGGAAGCTCTAAACCCAATCTCTAATCAAAGAATTGAGTTTTATTAATTTTCAAAAAATCCAAATCTACAAATTATTTGAAAAGTTTAGTAACCTTTTTACTTTAGTTGACATAATCGAAAGCTTCATATTTTCGCATGATACAGATTTCGTTTGTATGGCACATATTCCATTTAGCATTGGACAGTAAGATACACTCGCTAAATAATATTATGATATGATTTCATTATATTCATATTGAATTTTTATTTCTTTGTTTCTCCAACCCTTGAAAAAGATAACATTACTTTCCAAGCCCTCGCTACTCCCTGTCAGACGCCCAGGAACCCTACCTAGATCGTAGAATTTTCCATTTTCCATTGCAGTTCTTAAACTCCGAATATTACATTATGCAATATCTTGTTCCCCAACAGCCCGACTGCCCAAGTGGTTCGGGGAACGTCCTGGCAAAAAGGTCGGTGATCCGGAGACCCCCGAAGGAGAGGAACAGCAACAGGTAGAAGAGGACATCAAACAACCCATCTACGAACCCGAACCGGAAGAAGAGGAAGAAGAGGAGGAAGTAGAGGAGGAAGAAGAAGAGGAGGATGAGGAAGAAGAGGAATAAGAGGTGTGCTGTTTGAGGTGAGTCTGTCGATGCGTGTCATGATGGATTCTATTAATGTGCATTTGCTTTTTAAAGTATCAAAATATGTAGCAGAGGTTATTATTAATTTACCTGATATGTGAATAATGGTTGTTCCATAAGTGTTTAAATTAATATTTCATAATTTCAGAGGACAATAATTTTTTAGTGGAAACAGATCTTCAAAATTATTTCCAGTTAAACCAGAAGTAGTGAATGTCTTTTGGATAGCAGTGGTGGTATATACCAACATTTTTTTGAAAATGGCCGCGCACATTTGCACGCATTTTGTAATGGAGCAACGTTATTATTTTAATAGTTGAAATGTTTTTAAAAATATTTGCGTTTCAAATCTTATTGAATTTTCTTTTACTGTTGTGTATAATAACTTCATAATTGAACAGTTTGGAAGGTAACTCATTCTTTTACGAAAATTCATATAATTTAATTATTATCCTAATGAAGCAGGGCTAACTGTGGGTTCTAGATATTCTATGGTCGTCGGACTATTTAGATTTTGTTGATATATTTTAACTTATTATTCGGTGCAAAATGGAAACATAAATGTTGTATTCTAGCTAATTATGTATTTCCAATAAAACTATAACCTCCTTTTTGTAGAGAAACAAAAAATAATATTCTTCAAATTAAACAGTTATTACTGACTCCTATAAATTTTACAAAAAGAAGTATTTATAAATATATATTAACATAATATAATTTATGATTTTGCTGCTGCTGAATTCTTTCCTGTGCTTATTGAATCCGAAGGGAATAACCAGAGAGAACCAGGAATAACTAATTAATAAAACAAAAAATGCTGGTGCAGCTTATTCGACTGAAAGGGTAATTTATTCTTTCATTATATCATAAGATTATTATATAAAATATAGACAATGTTTGGAAATTTATTTATTAAGGGAAATTTTTTTTAACATTTAGAGCAGCTTTTGACTGATATGTTTTGTTGCAGGTTACGCAGGTTGCAATTACGGTTATATAATATATTTATAATAATAACGTCAATCTAATTTAGGAAACACTCCATCCTGTAACTTTTTGGTTCCGACAAAGTAATGTTATGCTTTTAATCCGATGTTAAATTGAAAACAATAAAGTTATACTTGTAATCGTACGTTATTCCTATTGGTTTTATTTATTTTTTATCTGTATATGTTTAGGATTAAGTTCAGTCATAAAAATGTTAAATAAAATATATAAATCCGGTAAACGTGTTTCAATACCCAACTTTTAAATTTTCCTTCGGGTATCCTTGATACAATTACGCACTGTAGTTTCCGTTCATCCTGTTCTCGATCATGACGTTTAAAGTAAAAAGCGAGTTTTTTCCCCTTTTTGTCTCCGCCGAACGCCGGGCGAGCGAGCCTATGATGAATCATTCCGTTTTGTCGTATTCTTATAAACCGATGAAATAAATTTGCGTCCTTAAAAATGCCAAAACGACTTAAATTTTCAACATTTATTTACACAGAAAGTAAAATAAAGTTTTATTCGGGCTAGTCGATGCACGATGCAAAAGCTGGAATAATTAAGAGCAATTTTACAATATGACAATGCAATAAATAGGGCTTTCGATGCGGTGTCTGCGATGCGTTATTTTCGCTTAGCTTTGGGCTGCGTCTGGAGTTTGGGACATATAAATCCTCCCTCATTAACTTTCGAAGATAACGGAGCGTTTTTTAGAAAAAACTTCAAAATTTTCTTCTTGGCAGGTTTCCTCTTTGGATGCGATTTTCTTCAATACTCGTACCTTTTATTAAATTAGAACCATGATTAATCCAATAACAGTAACAATTATTTGGAACGTATTTGTTTCTTCTTTCACTGGTTCCGTGGGAGTTATTTTTTCTGCTAAGTCTCTTAGGTGGTATATTTCCTCAATATTTATTTTTGAAAGACTGAAGGTATCCAGGACTTTCATTGCGTTCATTTCCGTCAATTGCATTTTTGGTAAAATTATTGCTTTTCCAAACTGGATTTTCACGTTGAAGAATCACGAATCGTTGAAGAATTTTTCTTCATTAATTTCTATTTAACAGTTTACTGGTATCTTAATCAGTACTGGTACTTCGATTTGCATATATCGATCCGCGTTACACTCGATTAGCAGTTTTTCAGGCTTCTGTGGCAGAACAAGAACTAAATTTTGAGTTATTTGTTCTATAATTACTTCTGACAGGTTCATTTTCGTAATGGGGCAGTTTTCCATTCCGATTTCTTCAAATAAGTTCTCCACGCATACATCTCGGGGGTGAGTTTATTCTTTACAAAAGTAGATTTCTTCGATAACGGGACATGTTTCTGTGGTAAATTGTCTCTTCTTGTGCCATATAAGGGTATTGGGGTATAAAAATTTATTGATTTTGGATTATTGGGAAAATATAGTAAAAGGAATATATTTCGGATCTTAAAATTGGTACATGGACTGCAAAGATCACTTTCGAGTCAACTAAATTTATCTGAGTTCCCAAAATTTGATAAAAATATAAAATACTTTTAAATTGTGGAATTTGGTTTGATGCTACCTATTTAAGCATTTTATTCAACTCCGAACTCGTTAAACTTAACTTTTGTAAACATAATAGCGCCTTCTATTACATTATAATATTTTGGGAATCTAAGTTTAATTGCGTAATGATCCCGTGAAAACTAAGATAGTTTTGTAAAGAATTTATCGTCATTAATACTGCCTTTGGGATGTTTTTAAACCAGTGTTTGGTTTATGTTGGTTTTTTATTATAATTATTAATGCCCTTTGATAAAGACACTTTGTAGTTTTCATTCTTTGGCTAAATCATTTTGGTTTTTCTCAAGTGTATTTATTGCTGCTTTATAATAATTTCCGTCGTCAGCGTCGAGAGTTTCAAATAGCCATTTATTTATTTTACCAACCGCGTTAATTAGGCCTCGTTCATTACGAACAAGTGGATGTAAATTTTCAAGTTTTTCCACCGTAATTTGTATTCAATATTCAGTTCTTAAAAGTAAATTTTCGGCAAATCCATAATAAGAAATATTATTAGTTATATTTTTAGCATTAAACTTATCTTTAATTATTTTGAATGCTTTCTATGTGATTAATTATTTGGCTTAAATCTACATAATGGATAAATGTGTGTTTATTATAAATTAGCTTCGCGTTACCAATCTGGATAGGAAGTATAGGATTTTCGAGTTTGGTAACTTGGACGTCTGTCGTCACTATTCGTTCGGTTAAAACTGCTACGAGTAGAAGAGTCAGCATTCTGATCTTCATTGGTTTCCTCTCTTCTTGAATAAAGGAAGTTCCTTACTTCTAAATTTGATTTAATGAAAGCACATTTTTGATAAAAAAAATCTGGCATTTCTTCGCATTTTTCGTTTGTTTTTGAATCAATGCCTTTTTTCGTTTTTTCATTTAATTCTTTTATTTGTTCGTACAATGTACTTGAGTTTTCTTTATGCGATTGAACATAAGAAGAAATGACCGCCTTATCATTTAGATCAAATGGGTTTTGAGAATTTAAATGATCGATAAATATCGATCAGTTTCAATGGCGTTCATATCTATTGGATATCGTGATAAAGCGTCCGCTGCTTGATTATTTTTACCCTTTTTGTATTTTATTTCATACTCATACTCCTCGAGTTTAAGTCTCCATCTAACGAGGCGTGAAATTGGCTCTTTTAATGACATTAGGCACTGTAGGGGTTTATGATCCGTAGCCTTAAAGGTCTAATTGATGTCCCAACAGGCACCAACACTGTTTAGATAACATTTTTATAAATTTTGATTATCAGAGTGAGGTAGATGTCATTGATACTCGTTTGTCTGACCACTGTGCAGTTACGTGTAACATTTATTGCCCAACAAATTCAACTTACAGTGTGCAGATTGTTCGCCATAGGCCTATAACTCAGGTTGGTTTAAACGATCTATATTCGGACATTAGTAAACGTGATTGGTCTTTGTATTCTACACGAATATATACATTGAACAAAAATTCAGTACATTTCTTGATATACTCATAAGCGAAATTAACTGTGCTTTTGTATACCGACGAATTACGAGAGATGCGATCCTAAATTTCCTGATATTGAAAATATAATAAAATGGCATAGGACTGCTTACAGGGCGAAAATAAAATTAAGTCAAAGGTCTGCTAACTCGTTCTATATAAATAGAAGCAATAACACTTCTAAGACAGCATGGGAGGTCATCAATGGGAAACGCAAGAGTGGATCAAATTTTCATTCACTGGGTATCACTCCGGACAATTTTAATGAATATTTTTCAAACGTAGCAAATAAATTAACTGCAAATATTGCTAATACTTACGGTCCAACTGAGTCTATGAGGGCTCATATGGATAAGCGTTTTCCTTTCCGTGAAGTCTCATATATTGAAATGAGAGACATCCTGACCAGTTTTAAGTGAAATGATAGTAAATACATATATGATATAAATATCAACATTATCCATTACAAGAATTAATAGTTATTCCATTGACTAAGCTGACGAACAGGTGTATATCCGATTTTATTTTTCCTAACTCCTTGAAGTTGTCCAGAGTGAATCCAGTTTTCAAGAAGGGCGATGTAAATGATATAAATAATTATCGTCCAATATCTATTATCCCCACAATCGGTAAAATTATTGAAAAGATTCTATATTCTCAACCGTTTGTTGTCTCCGGCACAGTTTGCGTTTAACGTGGTATATCGACTTGTGGAGCGATTAGTAGAGTTCTTGATTAGGTTTGACTCTGTCCGGCATCTGAGTAATTTGCTGAGGTATGGCGAGGACCCCTCATCGGTTGGATTCCTTGAAAGTTATCTTTCCAACAGGAGGCCGATCGTGGTCCTGAATGGAAAATCATCACAAATTTGAGTTGTTGAACATGGAGTACCCCAAGGATCCATTACGGGCCCTCTTCTATTCTTGATATATATACATTGTTCGCTGATGATACTACCTTTTCTTGTGGAAATCATTCTGAGAACGACTTGGTGCACAGGATGGAGGGGCCCAGTCTGGGGCTAGTGAGTGGTTTCGTGCTAACAAACTTAACCTCAATGAATCAAAAACACAACAAACTATATTTTCTTTACGCAAGTCACCTTTCAACAACCCATTACATGTGAACTGTCTTGGGGTTCTGCTTGATCCGAAATTGGCGTTCGAGCAGCATATTATTGGTCTTTGTGAGAAGCTCTCCAGGGTGGTGTACTTGTTGCGCGGTTTGGTCGGCGAGGTCTCTCAAAGTATAGTCAGAATGGTATATTTTTCACTCTTTCAGGGATTATTTAGCTATGAAATTTTAGTTTGGGATCACTCCTTACATACCGAAAGGGTTTGGGTTTGACGAGCCATCAGGGCGATGACGCAGTTGAATTATAGGTATGACGTAAGAGCAAAGTTTAAAATACTCCAAATATTAACTGTTCCATGCCTCTAGAGCGGCCTGGGGGCACAACGGGCCCATCTGGTGGCCTAAGTGCTTGGAAGCCGGCGAGGGCGCCCCCCTTTAATACCAATACCAATACCAATAATACTGTTCCATGTTATTATATCTATTCGGTATTAAAATACACTAAAAGCAATCAAGATCAATATCTACTCAAGAATTGCAAAGACTAGAAATTATAAGAACTATGACGGACCTAAATTCTTTAATCTATTGCCTCTAAGCGTCAGAGAGCTGCCGGAGAGACAATTCTCTATTAAGGTCAAATCACTACTGCTGGATGGGGTCTATTACTCATTTGATGACTTTCTTACCAATTTTAATAATGTTTAACGTTTTTTGTGTTATGTCGCGGTGCCTTTGTAATTATACATGTAGATTTTTCTCAATGTTTTTTGCTGACTTATGTAAAACCGTAGGGTTGTTAACATAAATAAATTATTATTATTATTATAAATAATAAATTTTTGTCCAAATAAATAAGGTCTATAATATTTACAGCTCCAAACAATTGCTGTTCCTTTTCAATTGTCGAGAAGACATATTTTGATGCGTAGGTTGCTAATTCAAACTTCTGTGTAAAGTCCGGATAAGACAATACTGACTCCCAAGTAAGCACATTTTTGCACGTATTAAAAGAATCAATGAATTCTTTTGTGTGTTCGACTTTGCTTTCCTTTTTCAAGCATTGTGTCAACGGTTTAGTTATCTTCGCGTAATTTTTTATGAATTTACGATAATACCCGACTAAACCTAAGAATGA